ACACCACAGTACGCTCTAATAGCATTGTTTTCTTTTGTGCCTATTTAACTATCACACTTCAATAGTCAAATTGTGTTTTCACGGGTTTAATGGTCGCGCTCTAAGGACAAGAAATAATCCATTTTGTTGTAGTTTATATAGATAACAGGTTTATATTCAAAGTTTTTAGGTTCACATCATTACCTGCTTTTTGTACTTTTCTTGTTATCTTATATCGCTATTTTATATCGGATTTGTTACTTTGCGATTTTTCAACGTGTTTTTATGCATGATTTCCTTTATATACGATATCAGTTAACATTGCCCTGAGGGATTTACTATATTATTTGTTAATAGCGCATTGATAAGAACAATTCCCGAGCATTAGTCCCCTCTGGGGCTCTCTCAGTTCTCTTTGTATAAGCTTATTTATTCATGTATGTAAGCGTTATGGAAGAAAACTTGATAATGTCGAGTACAAGGCCTTGTTTTGCTTGCTTTCCCTTTCGGTTTTTCGCAAAAACAACGCGATTAGAGCTTCAAGGATTCTATTTTGTTTATAGCTTCGTTTTCGTACATGTACGCGGCGTGAACTCGCGATGTGCGCAATACTCAATGGCACTTAAAAGCACACTTCCTTCCACTTTCTCAGAATACTTGCTACTTTAGTTTGACATTGAGCCACAGGCAGCCCATCAATCGGTAATAATCACGTTTAGTGCTGTGATTCAGCTTTTTTCCTTGATTGGCTATAAGTTGTTTCTACTCTCCTTTGCGGTTTTCCTTTTCAGTTCGCATAGCAAGTGAGAGAAAAATCTACTAACGTAAGCCGTTTCGACGCTCAGCTTCATGCTCATGCTGTAATTTTCTTTCGATTTTGTAAGTGTTTATATTTTCTTTACTTCTAAATGGTTTTTAATACACCGTCCGGTTCCTCCTCTTAAATCGCGGGAAATAATAAAGAAACGAATTCATCATCTTGTTTTGACTTCACCGCAGTATTAACAATATAAATAAACCATCAATAAAAATACAAAATAAAGGATTTTATCTTAATGGAAAATATCTTTTAGATGATCGAAGTATGGCGATATTGCTCTCGCGGATGATGACATACCTATCATTTTCAAAGAATCGCTTTCTACTGCTCAAAAAAAACTTAAGAACACCTCTTATTTTTGAAAACAAGTCAACTTCTGCTTTGTAAGAGCTAGTGATATTCTAATTCATATATCAACAGACTTCAAGGATAATTCAATACGACACGACTTACGATATACCTGAATAAGTCCCGACGCGATGCTTTCAGCTCCAGAATGTCTGCTTTCATCTAATAATCTTGAGCTTATCGCAACGATTACTTGCGCCCTTGTGTGGACACACTTTTCATGAGATAAAAAACCTAATACGGCGCGGAACCGGATTGAGAAGGCCTTGTTAAATATATCGAGCTTAGCGCCCAATACAAGTCGGAAATACAGAGGAAAGTTTATTACTATTCCTTGGATATTCGGTATTAAAAAACTAAATCTGAAATAAGCGCGGTGAGTACATCCGATAGACAAGGAGAATAAGACCAAATGCCGAGCTTGGAATATTAATTGACAGCAAATAAGCACACAAGACGGACTGATATATTGTGATTTCAATAATCGGGAATTATTGAAAAATAAGACAAAAGAGCGGATGGGTGAATGGATTAATGAATGAATAGATGAATGGGAATGGATAGATGGAAGGCTGATGATTATTTGTTGTCTACAATGAGGGAATGAATTAAACAGGTGTGAATGAATTGGTTGAGAAGCGCGCGCACACTTCATCGAGTTACGGGGAACAAACGCTTGTTGATTAACACGAGAGTAAATCAGTGGAAAAGCGCATAAGAAATCAAGGTTGAGCCAGGCTTTTTGCACTTTTCGAGCTAATTCATGCATAAAAGAAAGGATGGATAGATGGCAGTAAAAGAATGAACAAATAATAAAGTTTTGACGTCGGATTGGACAAAGAAATGGATTTTCAAATAAATAACCGGATTGCTAGTGTGTCGTCCAGTGAGGTGATTATTATATACCAATTTCGAGGCGAACTGAACACACAAAGACTAATTGCTGTAATTTGGAATGAAATAAAGTTTGTCAAAACCCGCAATTGGCTTTTTTCACCAAGACAAATTTGGCTCAGTTAGTTTATTTCCGAACGGAATTTCAACCAGAATCGTTAATATCAGGGAGGGGAGGGAAGGGGTGGGGGAGGCGAATAGACAAGGAAATTAAACAATTTTAAGCAAACTCAACTTGAGGAAATAAATGCGAATGAGCAAAAAATAGTCCTCCTTTTTGGAAATTAAGGAAATTAATACGTCAGGAAGAAGATATTAAAGAGATATTTTTGTTTGCCAACTTCAATTAAATGTTTGAATGAGTGATTAAATTTCAAATGAACAAAGGGCGTGGATCATATTTTTTTGAGTGCGAGAGACCAATTCACTATTGACTACAACTGATCCAACTCACACAGCTTAGTTAGCTTAGCTTTAGGCAAAGAGTCTGTGTAATGCCCGGATCTTTTATTTATTCATTTATTTATCTATTTGATTTTCAGTTTCTAGTCTTCGTAAAGGACTTTACTAGACTAGAAGTAGAAGATCAGCTATTTCCATGTCAAATGCTAATCTTTTGATGACAGGTTTTCATGTACAAAATTATATTCCTTTTGTCGCTATAAGGTGATGAAAGCTCAAACAGTACAAAGAGGCAGCACTTTTAGAATATCAAGAAATGTTAATTTTAACATTAGTAGCTAGCATTGTCTGATATCAAACGACTGACCATTGTAGAGTGAAGGGCGATAATCTCTTTAGTAAAGTAATAATACTACTAGACAAAAGTCTTATTATTTCGCAAATGTATCATGGTATAAGAGAGTAATTCTAAAGTGCAGTGAGCTGGATTGACTGTAAGATGATTCAGCTTACATCCAATACGATTTGTTGTAATGGCAAATATTAAGGGTTTTATTATAAGACTTTAATGGCCTTGACTCTACAAACTCCCATCTTAGAGTCATAATACAAAAGTACAGTATAACGCTTCTTTACAATTTTCGTCGCCATCTTGAAATTGTCTATGGCCGTTCTTATAAGTGAGGAGTTGCCGAAACTGCAAAAATATTTATTTTTAATTCATACTTGATTATTAGTCACTAAAAAAMTGGTAGACTGATGTTAACAGGGCTTTTGAGAATAGTATAACGCTTCTTTACAAGTTTCAGCGCCATCTTGAAATTGTCTAATGGCCGTTCTTATAAGTTAAGAATTATCGAAACTGCAAAAATATTTATTTTTAATTCATATTTGATTATTATTCACTTAAAAAAATGGTAGACTGATGTTAACAGGTCTTTTGAGAACAGTATAACGCTTCTTTACAAGTTTCAGCGCCATCTTGAAATTGACTAATGGCCGTTCTTGTAAGTGAGGAGTTATCGAAACTGCAAAAATATTTATTTTTAATTTATATTGAATATTGTTCACTAAAAAATGGCAGAAATGTAATGGCAAAAACAAGGATGTAAGTTGAACGGTGAAAGTTTCTGATTGACGTTTTTGTCAAACGCTGAAAAGACGGCTTCCACAAACCCCTTCGTCTTAATTAATTATATGTTAAGAATTGAAACGAAACAAAAAGGCGGATTTGTAAGCCATGTGGGATTGACAAAAAAAAAAAAACATCAATTGCTCATGCGCATTGGGTCTAGAACAGCTTCGTGACATTTTTGTTTTGGTGATGATGATGCAATTTTCTAATTTGAGTCAACATTTTGATCCCTGTGATTCCAATTTTTTTTTCAAATTTGAGACCCGATCCCTAAGAGTTGGTGATCCTGAGAATCTTATTACAGCTGATCCCCGATATTGATCTCTTCAGCAGCTGTGACCCCGATCCCAAAATAACACAGATCCCTGAAACCATATACCATGCCATCTGTACATCATTTTTCATATCATCTCATATCCTGTACATCATTTTTCATATCATCTCATATCACTAGAACCTCTCCGTCAATTAACAAAAAGACAGGCTTAGAATTCGCAACTTAAATGTGAATGACACTGAAACTGCACTCCCAAATGTTTGATAAAACAAATCCCATTAAAATAATGTTATGATAAGGGCTTTAAATATCACTCTAAAAGGACAGAGTCCAATATCAGAATGATAGTACTGCCTAATAAAGGCCATAGCACGATATCCGGCTATAACACAATGGCCCATCTATATCTTGATTGAAGCGATTTCGTATGTTGAATTTAGAGCACTTTAAATCTATTAGAGCAAAGATTTCGACATCAGATTGATAAGAGTTTCTATACAAAGACGTTAATAAAGGATCGATATCAAGGAATTATAATCATGTATTATCCATCGATATGACTGGGAAATCGAAATAGCAAATGAATGGAGAGGACGATGATATAACAGCAAAACTTTAACACAGAGAGATGCGATGCACCAAACGCAGTATATAGACGCGTATACCGAACAGATAATATAGAGTGAGAGAATGAAAAACTAGGCTGACGTAGGATGCGTTGTAGCGCAAGTTGCTGTATAGTCGGCGGTATTCCGTGACTGACTTAAAGCGCGAACTGTACAATGCATTATATTTGAGTACAGCGGGTGCTCATATTTTAAAATTCTCGTATTATATTGCTTGGTTTATTGTTTCCTTTGTAATTGCCGTAATCCAGTCTTATGGTTGCAAAGGATTTTAATAAACTATCTATCTATCCATAGTTAGTATGATCTATCTAAGCAACGTCCCAGTTATTAAAGAAATAGCTTAGAAAAGAAATAGTGTCAAGGGATGGATAGGAAACTTAATGAACGATTGAATTCTCAATCAATATGAGTAAATGATTGGTGGGGAAAATAGGAAATAACAAAACAATTTAAAAAAGAATGATAATGAATGAATGAATAAACATTAAAAAATGAGAAGGTAAAAAAAATTCTAACCTGTTCTCAGTCCCGTTTCATCTTGACAGCACTATAACGTTAGTTCCACTGCACGATTCAGCTATATATACTACACTGAAACCACACAAAGTGCACGTATCATAACCAAGGACCCACTTTCACTCGACAATCAAAATCATAAAAAAAATTCCATTTCGGCCACTTACCTAACGGTTTAGTTAGTTCATTCGTTCGGTGAGAAGAAAGGGGCTGGTCATCGACTTTCGTAATTGCTAAGGCGCTGGCTAAATAACTGGCTGAAGAACTAGAAGAAAAGGTGATACAATTATGACAATATGTAAAAAAAGGGTTAAAGTGCCACGTATTTAAGAAAACTCACGTGAAGCATCCTTGAGGTCGAGTGCTTTATGATCTTAGAATGGACTGTTATAATGCTGCAACCTCACGACGTTGCTCCAAACTTTCATAAAGTGCTGTAATTGTGTAATGTTTCGCAATAGGGTGGGATGGGTTCGAGTCCTCTATTCAACTAAGATGTGAATATGCCTTGTTCGCGTTCAAAGCGATATAACCCCTGCTCTATTTGATAACAGACACTCTGAAAGAGCACGGCATAATGCTCGACACGACAATCATAAGTGATTGACAGTTTTAATAATAAAAATTAAGGAATAAAATCCAGCGTTACAGCCATATTGACTCCAACGTCAGGTATAAGAACAGATAATTTGCATATTGTAAGTCATGATCTTTGCAATATTTGCTAAAACTTCTAAATTGAAAAAGTGTTGTTTACAAAGTAAAGTATAAGACATAACAAAATTAAGGAGCTTTGCAACCAAATGACACACAATTTGGAAAAGAATAAACAAAGACTCGTGAGCGCTTTATAGAGTTTTCAAGAATGCGAGGATTATCAAAAATAAAAAAACCGTAAGCAACGTAAGTGAATCTAGGCGTTATGGGTTAAGTGTAATTTTCTACAACACTGACATAAAATAATTAAATTTTTTCAAAAATATCTACTTCATTAACCAATAAAATCCAAAGATAACTCGACTCCTCAACACGAACCTGAAATAAAATGCGTTTAATTGAACAAAATCGAAATCAATCGATCGACCGAAGTACTTGATTATTTCACCGATAACGCACTTGTTTAATATTATGCTTTTAGTTGCTTAGCAACAAGAGACGTCATCGTGTTCATTAAGAGAAAAAAGTCCTGTTAAGCAAACACTCTTAAGCCAACTGACGCAACCATTAAATTAGTGTCCAATGCGTCAATCATGACTTCTATTATTCTCAAAGAAAATATTGAGATATTTCAGTGTTTGTTTTAGGCGATATGATTATATAGATATTTAACTTGCGCAATCAGGCAAATGAATAAGACACCATAATAAAACTCACGCCGAAAGTTCCATATCATTAGTTTTTGTTATCTCTTAGTAGATAGTATTGATCGGTTCATTACCAAAAAATACGAAAGAATGGCAAATAAAGAGATTGCTCGGTAATGGGAACAATATCATGAAGATAAAAAGGAATATACATGTATTTTGGTACTTGCGGGGTGACGTGARCTCGAATTTCATTACGTTTTCCTGTCAATCAAATTTTTGGCGCCATTTCTTAAGTACGCGCGCGTATMGATGTGCACTGACGAYATCTCTTGACGTAGATATTTCATCATCACTATTAAACTACTTCATCAATTTTTTCAAAGGCAAAAAAAAAAGAAACGGGAGATAATTTAGTAGTTTTATTGAATATCTTCGCTAACATTCAGAAAATGTATGTTTATAAATTTATTTTGGGAGGGAGGCATGAAATACTTGCTTACTTTACTCTGGTTTACTCTTTATATTTACTCCTTTGGTTAGTAACTCTATATGCTGTTCATTAGGAGGTTTTTTTTATGGAATAAAATGAACTTATATAGCGCCTAATTTAAATTATACATAGCGCTTTTTACCATAGTCTCCTACGCGGTTCTCAGCGCCATCTTGAAAGGTAACCGTGTCTTGGCCTAGAAGCGAGTTGACGGGTGAGAGTACAAATGTCAGAAACTTTCTTGAACACCTGTAAACAATTATTCTACCATAGCAAACTCAACGCACGTCTCGCTTGGACGTAAAGGCAAGGTTACCTTTCAAGATGGCAGAAGGAAATGTAAAAAAAGACTATTGCAAGAAAAGAGATCCCGGTTTCGTCGTTATTCATAATACCATTGACGGCATCTTGAAGAAACGGGTTTGTCGACCAAAGTCATGAATTAAATTCCATCTCATTGAAACATAGACTAGTCTTATGCTTTGAAATTGTAAGCAAGTCATGAAACAAACCAAAAACCCAATAACACCACACAAGCTAGAGACACGAAAATAATAAAACAAGCTTGGAACATAAGCACATTATTCTTCGTCCTCTTCAGGCACCTCCGCCCAGGCCTCCTCTGCTTTCATAAAAAACTTATTGGCAAGTTTTCCATTCATTGCCGCCATKGCTTCATCTCCCGCCCTGGAAAACAGTTCACCTGAATAATTAGGATCTTTCTCAAGTCCAAATCCTCCAAGWAGATACATCTCAGCCTGTCGAGCTAACAGTTTATACACAGGGTCTGTCAGAAGGGAATTTTCCGGGTCTTCATCTTCGTCTATCACATCAATAGCGTTCTCATACCACTTAATTGCTAATGGCCATGACTTACTCCTGTAAAAGATAGATAGAACACGGTCACTGATTGGATGCCACAAGAGCATGTTCAATGATTGGATATTGCCATGGTAACTTACATTTTAGTACCCAGTCCATTGCCAGTGTCGTATGCCTTGGCCATGTAGATCATTGCATCACGGTCTCCTCCTCTCGMTGCTTGTAACATGTACATGACGCCTTTATTTGTATTTTCTTCTGTTTCCTAGAAACAAGCAATTCTTAAATGAAAACAATGAATAAATCTCTAACAACTGTCATCGCTGGCGATTATAGTGAGACACGTATTCTTTGAGCGCATGCGCACTAGAGGAACACYGGAAAAAATCGCGCTCCTTGAACCTTGTTAATTTAATGGAAATATGATGTAAATTCAATCTATAATAATTACAAAGGTTGTAAATATCCTTTTTAAAAGTGTCCAAAATCA